TACAAATGGCTGAAAACAGCCCTACTAGACACATTGGCCACAGAGAGGTTTGGGGAGCACCAAGTCAGGTCCCTCCCAGCTTTAAGTCCACTTGTGGCTCCCATGGCCTTCTAGGTGAGTCCCCCACTCCTCCCTAAGATTCTCCCCACTCCCACCATCCTCCACTGTTCCTGTGTTCACTTGCTCCAGCCATAACTACCTCCTCTTTGCATAGGCCCTGTCCTGAGCTGAGCCTCACCGCTACCCTCAGGCACATCTTACCTCGGCCTCCAGATTTAATCTTTAACATGTGGGATGCACCCCTTGAGCTCCACAACCTCAGAGATGGGACCGTTGACTCAGCCCCTCTTGTGGGCTGGGTTTGCAGCCAATTTTGTTACATTCTCCCATTTCACAGATGAAGACACTGAGGGTCTGAGTGGGTATGACGTCTGGCAGTGAGGGACAGGAGCAATGCTCATACCTGTTATCTCTCCTTCACTTGCTCCTAGGTGCTGGCCACTGACATGTCCAAACATATGAACCTCCTGGCTGACCTCAAGACCATGGTGGAGACCAAAAAGGTGACGAGCCTGGGAGTCCTGCTGCTGGACAACTACTCTGACCGCATCCAGGTGTGTAGCCGGGAGGACTCTGGGTCCATGGTTTCCACACCTCTCATTTAGCTGCATTTATGAAGCATTGACTGTGCTAAACTTGCAGAAATGGAGATACTGAGACTCTTTTCCCTCCTGGGCCACAGTTTTTCACATGTAAGAGGGGTGGCTATGGTGCCAGCCTGTTGCGGGGTTAACTGAGCCTGAGGGTGGCCTGGCCCTAGCCCTCCTAAGCATCTGTCTCCCCAGGTGTTACAGAACCTGGTGCACTGCGCCGACCTCAGCAACCCCACCAAGCCGCTGCCCCTGTACCGCCAGTGGACAGACCGCATCATGGCTGAGTTCTTCCAGCAGGGTGACCGTGAGCGCGAGTCAGGCCTGGACATCAGCCCCATGTGCGACAAGCACACGGCCTCAGTGGAGAAGTCCCAGGTTGGAGGTCGACGGAGCACAGGGGAGGGAAGTGGCTGAGTCAACCCCATAAATTCTGGCTTGGCTGCTGGCTGGCCAGTGAGGGAATGTGGCCTAAGGGTGCAGTGTACCCTGGACTGTGCAGAGTCACTCCTGGGATGTATTCTCTCGGGGCTGCAGGGAGAGGGATCTGCAATCATGGGGTTGGAAATGTCTGTTCTGAGTGGGGGACCATGTGGCTGGAGGACACGTACATTCAGCCCTGTACTACTCCATAGGTGGGTTTCATTGACTACATCGCCCACCCACTGTGGGAAACCTGGGCTGACCTGGTACACCCAGATGCGCAGGACCTTCTGGACACACTGGAGGACAACCGTGAGTGGTACCAGAGCAAGATCCCCCGCAGCCCTGTGGACCCCACCAGCCCTGAGCGGGGCGGTCCTGACAGATTCCAGTTTGAGCTGACTCTGGAGGAGGCAGAAGAAGAGGAGGAGGAGGAAGAGGAAGAAGAGAGTATATTGGACCAGAGGACCTTGGAGTCACCTGACACTGAGCTCCTGTCCCCTGAGGCCAGGCCAGACCCTGGGGCCTTATGCCTGGACAACCATAGGACCGTGGGCAAGCCCTGTGTAGACCATGAAGGAAATGCGATGACTGAGCCCTTTGGTACATAATGGCCACTGGTGGAGGGGTAAACTTTCCAGGAAGAGGTCCCAGGTGACCCATGCCTTGCCTTCATCACACACTGAAGGAGATAACCAAGCTTCTAGTAATAGGCAAGTCTCTAGGTTGAATTAGAGGCACCTGGCTGGGGTCTTCTTTGACCACATGCTCTGCTGAGAGAGCTCTCCTCCTCCAAAGTCAGCTCTGAAGTTGAGGCTGGGTCAGGTTCAACTTCTCCAGTGGTCACTTTTGAGCCACATCCATCACTTTCATCAGTCATTCTTTATCAGATATTTATTGGGCATCTACTGTGTGCCAGGCTTGTGCCTGCTATGTGCCTCTGGGGTAGCCCTGCACAAGCTGGTGGGAAGTAAGTCCCAAGGAAATGCCCCTCCCCCACAGGTGCCTCCCTTTCATCTGCTGGGCAGCTCTCTGCAGAGAATGAGACCTTGAGTAGGGGAATTTTTGGCACCAAAGCTTTGTCTAGTCCCAACTCTAGCTCTGGAGCTCTGGAGGGGGATCGCAAGGGGGTATCAAAGATAGGGCTCTGTGTGGGGGCTTCTCTGAAGACTGATGTCACCTATCACTGCTTGTGCATCCGTTATTGCTTTAAGTTGCTATAACTTCTGTCCTCAGGGTGCACCTGCTCCCTGTTCTCTCTGGCCCCAGGACCCCCTATTGGTCCCCCTCCCACATTATCCCCCTTATAGAACAGTAACAAAGGCACACAGTTCCCCACAAGTTGGGTCTCTGCATTGCTTGATTCTGCAGGTGCCACAGACTGCTCCTAGGAAGCCCTCTGGGCCTCAGTTTCCTAGTACTTGGGTAAACTTTGGTTGAGGGGTGGTGTCTGTGACCTCCCTGAAATATATTAGAAATTTGGGGCATTAGACGTTTCTCTGGGGTTAAATAAACCCTATTATCCTAAACTAGTATCACAGCCATTTCATGGATAGGGTAACCGAGGCACACAGAGCAGTCCTGTTACCTGCTCAAGACAACGCAGCTGGGCACTGGTCAGTAGCCAGCGGCGCCTCCTGGCGGCAGGAGGCGCGGCGAATTCAGGGGTCCTCCTCGCCTGGCTGGCCACCCCTCCCACACCTCACTTGCTGAAGCCGAGGCGGCTCTGCCTTTAAGTCTCAGGTCTGACTCCCGTCTCTGGAAGGCTCAGTGTTCCCCCTCTACCTTTACCTCCCTCCCAGAGTGCCTGAAAATTTACACGTTACACAGGTCCTCGCAGCAACCTCTGGCTTGGAGAACAGCTGGTTTCGTTCCTAAATGATTCCATCGATAATTCATCATCATCACAATTACTGATCAGATTCCACAGAGAGAGAAGTAAACACCATCTGGGTCATGAACTTGGTGTATTTCCTTCCAGATCTTTAAAAGGCAGAGATTTAGGGGATGATTATAATTTTTTCTCCCTCCCCCTTTACAAGTAATATGTTTTTGCTGTAGAATTTTGAAATGATGGAAACATATAAGAAGAAAATAAAATTCTGTAATAACCTCACCCGTAGACTATCTGCCTTCAGCATTTCACCTTATTTCCTTCCGGAGTTTTCTCTACCCACTATAAGAACAATCATACATTCCACTTCAGTTTGGGCCACAGCATCCCTCCCACTCCGTCTTACTGATTGCATTCTACCCACACTGACTTTCCACATCCCAAACATGGTTTTTGCACATGCTGTGCCCACCATCTGTAATGCTTCTCTTCCTCCTCATCCTCACCCTTTGGGTCTCAGCTCAGTGACCCCTCCTCTGGGAAGTCCTCCCTGACACCCCACTCCAGGCTGGCACTGGTGGAAGCTTTGGGGGATTGTTTGATTCATGTCTGCCATGCTCTCCAGACCATGATGCCAGGAGGCCTGGGCCAGGTGCACTGTGCCATCCTTAGTGTCCCCAAACATGGTCTTTGATAACTTCTGTGAGTCCCTTAAACTTTGCAAAGCCTTTATCTTTTCACTGGTAAAATGGGCTCTTTGTGAGGGTCACATAATTGCAACAACAGGTAAGGTTTGAGGAAAGTGTGGCCTGAGTCAGACACTGAGATACATGTTCAAAGTGAAAATTAACCCTACCTCTTCTCCCATTTCACGGATGTAGAAACTGAAGTCCACAGTGGGGGTGACTGAAGTCACATGCTCCAGGTCCCCCATTTTCTTCTGTTTGGGGTCCTTGGCTTTGTGGCTCAAAGAGAATGAGTGGGAGAAGGTCTTCAGGGCTCCTCAGGACTTTCAGCCCTTGCGAAACTCTAGGTTGACTCTCATGGCCTTAGTTTGCCCTCCATTAAGGGAGAAAAGGTTGCCTGCTCCATCTTCCTCACAGAACTGAAGAGAGGCTGTCCCTTGAGCTTGTTTAGTGAGTTCCAGCCTCAGGGCCTTTGCACTTCCTGTTCCTTGTTTGGAGCACTGTCCCCACCCCCCATTCAGGACTTTCAGCCCTTGCGAAACTCTAGGTTGACTCTCATGGCCTTAGTTTGCCCTCCATTAAGGGAGAAAAGGTTGCCTGCTCCATCTTCCTCACAGAACTGAAGAGAGGCTGTCCCTTGAGCTTGTTTAGTGAGTTCCAGCCTCAGGGCCTTTGCACTTCCTGTTCCTTGTTTGGAGCACTGTCCCCACCCCCCATTCTCCCCGTGGCTAGCTCTTTTCTTCAGGT